GATGCTGGGTTTCGTGCAAGCAACCAAGAGAACCTGATGCCTTTCTGGGCTGGGGAGTCCGCATAGGGTTGGTCCACACCTCTGCTGAAGTTTTGCTAATCCCTTCAACTATAGTCCTGCCCATTGTCGTACACCCAGTCCGGCTAAGCTGCGTGTCAGCATGAGTCGCCCCGGCTTCAAACCTGTGCCATCCTGGGCCTATTTCAGCCTTACATCGATCCCATGCTTGCACCATGGATGAAGATCTGAGGCATGTTTGGCATTGTGTGGCGTTCACATTCTGCACGGGACGCCACTCCTGCTTTGCACATCTTCATGGGCACTTTCTCGACACCCTGCACATACCCTGCCTGTTTATCTCTTGGCCTGACCTGACAAGTTGGAATCGTGATCATAGGAGGGTGTGGCTCCAAATTGAAGAGTCAGGGTTACGCAGATGTTGGTCTTTGTTTTCATTTACCAAGGGGCCATATTGAGTACCATTTGTTGAGCCACAGCCAGGTGTGCATGAATCCAGCTGCGTAACTCATTCTGTCATGCCTTCAGATGCATCAAGTAGTGAGGTCGTCCGGCCTAGACTCCTGCACTGAAGACCGCCTATGACATTACAGCCTATGTATTGCTTTGACCTGATTAGTGTAAGTACCAGACGAAACAATAGGGGCAATGGGATGGTTGTGTGTTGGAAATGAGGTTTCTAGTCTGCCTTCCATGTTGCGACAGTGATCGAATCACCTCAGCCTGGCAGGACTCTTTTGGCCTGGATTAGAACTGCGATGGCAGGACAGGGCGTTCAAAGCTGAAGCCTGTGGATTTGTTGGCAATGCTTTGGTGGCTGTAGAGTTGTAGATGTGTGCGTGTGTGTGAGTGTGAGTGCGAGCACCTGCGTTTGCGTTGCGTTGCCTTTGCGTTTGAGTTTGTGTGTGTGAGTGTGTGCGCGTGTGGGTGTGCAAGGGAGTGTTATTTCGAGGACCCGTGTGCGTGTGCGTGCACATGCTTGCGCTTTCATGTTTTTCTTGGCTGTGTTTGTCAGGTCCTTCTGAGTGTTGTTTGCTGTTTGCTTGGTTGTTTGTTGGTTGAGTTGGAGGTTAGGTTAGGCATGATTTGGTCGTTTGCTTGCTTGTATTCGTGCTGTCTTGCCTGTTTGTTTGTGTCGTGCTTGTATTGTCTTTTTGTTTGGTCGGTTGCTTGGTTGTTTGTTTGTGTGTTGTCTGTTTGTTTGTGTGTTTTGTTTGTTTGCCCGCCTGGTTGTTTAGTCGTTCTTTCGTTTGTTCATTGTTCCGTCCGTTCGTTTTGGACTTTGTTTGTGTGCGTGTTTGTGTCTATGGTTCTGTTTTGTGCCCTGTTTGTTCTTTGTTCTTTAGTTGCTTTGCTTGGCATTTGTTTGTTCCTGTGGCCTTTCTGTTTGTCTCTTTTGTTGGCAATGCATTCTTTTTTTTCGACTCATTCCAAACTGTTCCTGTCATCCATCGTACTTACTGCGTCAGTCTGGTAGTAAATCAAGCTGGTCTCAGCCCGGTAGAGCCTTGCAAGCGCAGGTTGCACACATAATTACAGATGTTTACGGTCTACGTTCAGGATTAGGGTCCATTTGCTTTGCTGTGTTTGTTTCTTCTTTTTCCGCGGTAGCTGTTGGCTTAGCAGCTGCCTCAGTTGGTGCAACACAGGGATGTGGGATGAAGGGTTAAATAATAATGTCTGCGATACAAGGGAATCTCCCCCCTTATGTATTATATATAATATATGGGGGTCATTTGTCAAACAAGGTACAAAGGGGCCGGAGTCTTGCTAAATATGGTGTTGAAGATAGAAACTTTCTGAACCACGAACTCAATGCGCCTGCTGCGCTGCTAGACTTGCTGCACCAGGGTTGTGGGAAATGGCCACTTCTGTGATACAACAAAAAGGCCTTTACAAAGACAACATTGTTCCTTCAAATACGTTGCTTTGTTTTTTGCCGGCTACCCGGAGCATTTCTGTGTAGAGGGGCACGGAGAGGCAACCACTCTGCGATTGCCCAATATACTATACGCAAAGGTCGCGGTTGGGTGTCAGTGCATGAGGTCTCATGCTTGGCGCCAGCTTTGCACTCTCAGCCGTTCAGGAATTCGCACCGTTTTTGTGTTTTATGCGCCTTGGCATCATTTTGCACTTGCACTGCCAAGCAATGTATGGTTGACGGGAGAAAGAAAAGCTCCTTGTTGCTCTGCCTGACAGGTTTGAAGGGATGTGCATCAAGGTTGCAGGCTCACGCTGGATGGGCAGTTGTCTTTGGACCTCTGTACGCCAGCAGGGGATGGTCTTTGACTCACCGCTGAGCTGGGTTACTTCATGCGTGTTTCTGATGGGCATGGTTGTGGCACAATCTTTTGTGCAGTGACAAAGTTGACTGCTAGCCTAAACTTGTAGCTTTGAAGGTGGCTTTTGTGATTGCTGAATCTAGGAAGTATTGGTGCTGCTTGTGCAAGTTTCCTGTTGCGTGTTTGCTATGCTGCATACTGCTGCATCAGTGTATTATATCATTGAGAAAGCGCTGGATTGCACTGCCGCGCTGCCGCTGCGGCTGCTGCTGGCTGTTGCTGCTGCTGCCTGTTGCTGCTGCTGCTGCATTTGCCACCGCTGCTGCCGCCGCTTCTTCCGACGCTGCAGCTGCGTTCAGTCCCCAGCACACATCAGTGGTGTCCTGAGAACCCATTCTGAGGCTATTGATGGAGTCAACACCCTCTGGGACTATGGCGTCAGTGCCAGCTGCTCCGCCTCAAGACACGTTTGCTTGCGCAAACTCTAGGCGGCCAGCATGCAGTCAGGTATGTCAGTATAATAAATGTCAGTAGTTATGCCTCAAATTGGGGAATCAAAGCTTACCCGCAGACCACAGACTCCATTTGGTTTTGAGAGACACCCCCTTCGATAGAGGAGGCATACTGGCCTTTGTTGCAAACAAAGAAGCCAGGAGCAGATTCACCACCAGAAAGGGGCCGCACGCAACACACCCAGTTTTGCTTCACAGGCCAGTGAGCCTCATGCAATGCAGCACTAGTGGTCTTCACCTTCTTATCAAAACAACAGACCCTTGCGGCAAAAAGGAGATGGTCGTCAATTTGAGAATAGCATTAGGTCCTTCCATACAGTAAACGGAGCATTAACCATGATCTGCAAGAAGTCGTCCCGAGTCCTTTCACTTGATGGTTGGAAGCGGGTTGCATGCTCCCTTCAAGGCTGTGCATGTGCGGTTCCCGATGTCCTTCTTTCTTGGGATTAAGGCACCGGTCTTTGGTCAGGGATGGTCTGCGACTTCAAAGCAGGTTCAATCGGCTTCGGATCGCAATCGGCAACACTATAGCTGTCTGAAGGGCCAATCTGTCGTGCATGGGCCAAATATGTTGTGCGCCAGCCAATTTCCAACAAGCTGCAATGCTGGCACTTGAGCTGCCAGCAATGCTGGCCCAGAGTCTTAGATCAGTTTGTCCGTGTGTGTGTGTGTTTGTGCGCACGTGTGTGATGTTTTGGAACGAAAGCACAGCAATTAGAAGGTTCATCATTGGTTTCATTTTGTATGGGCCACGAGGGCATACTCCGCTCAGGCGAGATTTTGATGGCGGTCTTGGTGCTCGTGCTTTTGTTTACTGGCCGCTCACGATACTATGCCATCAAGGACTGAGGGAGGGAGGTGGGCACTTGGAACTTTGTTACTCGCACGTCTTTGGGGGCGGACGCTGTGTCTTTTGATTTGGGCCTTGGGCAGGAATTGATCCTCAAGAGGGAGCCTCCGGCTACCTTCGGGCGGATTTCCTTGAGGCAGGGTTGCATGTGGGTGTACTCGTCGTCAATGTTGGAAGCAACTCAACCCAATTGTGCATTCGTCTTCTGTTTCGGCCTACATGCAGAAAAGCCTGTTTCACACACTTCTCCCTGAGGTATACGTACATAGTGCTGGCCCTCGCGACCTTTACCACTACTCTGGGTGTGTGTTCGCGGAGGTGGCAGAAGATTCAGTAGCGCTGCGAAAAAGAGCTCGCGAAGAGAAGTCGGCATTTGACCATGGTCTTCTGGTGACCTGGGGGCCTTGTTCCAGTCCAGAAATAATGCAGGTTTGGCCAAGCTTCAATTGACCAGCAATCAGTACAGTAATCATAGGTTAGTGTGCCACGTCTCGCGTACTGTACAGCATGAACTTGAAACCCGGCGTTGCTGACTTCGGCTTTCAGGTTGAGCATCCAACTACTGTCAAGGGTCGGCGAGCCACATTGTCAGGGCATCAGCACTGCGGCCATCACCTCTCCGGCCCCCTTGTGGCCATTGCAGTGTTTCGCCCAAAACCCAGCTTTCAGGATCGTTCAAAGCATCATCTCCTAAGCTTCTCTCAGCTCAAACGGAGAAAACGTTTCGACTTGAGGGGCCATGTCCTTCCAAGCAGCGCGGCATGTTTCCTCCCTGCTGCTGCCACAGCAAAGCTCTGAGGAGCTTGACCAGAGTTGGAGAGTTGATATAAGAGTTGATTGGCTTTAGACCTTCTTAAATATATTATACATATAGTGTGTATATATATGTATATTATGTATATATATATATATAATGTCTACCAGTTGGCATATGATCTTTTGCATTTTCCATAGAACATGTTCAAACTGTGCCCTTGGTGATTCTATGCTTAATTGGCGCAACCCATGCTCAGTTATGTCCCTAACAAATCTACGATGTTTCCAGCTGCTCAAATTAAGTCTGATGCACAAATGTTGCTCAGCATTCAAGCGATGAGATTCATCAGGGACCATAATGGCTTAACATGATGAAACTTCAACTGCCATCATGGCTGAAGCCCGGCTGTGCATGTGGGATTGCGCAAAGGGAAGAAACTTGTTTTTACCTTTTGCCTTTTGCTGGCTAATTCACAGGCCAGATGTAGGCTAGATCTAACCAGGAGCTCAAGAAGCAAAGACCCAACGGCAACAAACTCAGTTGGGAGATGCAGGATTTAGGAGCAACATGAGCTGGAGACATGCGGGGGCGTTCTACAAATGTGTGCAAGTGTATGCAAAGCATGTCCATGACTTGCCATCCGTGCAAGGGATCGCATACATCGCGGAAGTCCGGAAATTGGAACGCGACAGGGCTGCGAACATGAGCAATTCGAACGTATTCTCTTCCTGCGAGACGAAACCTGACGCCAAGTTACCGCGAAAGGCCGGCGACCGTTTTAATGTCCGGAACCTTGATTTCAATCAACCCGCATGTGCCTGATGCACACACATATGATTCCATTGTTCCAGCTGGATGCTTGGCGACTCGAAGCAACATTTTATGCATTCATTCACGTATACGCTGCACACCCGGTCGTTGGTAGAGTGAGGTCGCAGTTGCCTTGGCTGAACAAGTTGCTCAGCCACAATTTGCACCCACCCCAAAAAAGTACAGGTATATTGTACTAGCTATAAGCTGCTGTTTGCTACCAAATATCAGTATCATGTTTCCATCATACAAACGCCCGCATGTGTTTTGACTGAGAAGCTGTTGACTTGCCAAGCTTCTCAGAGTTTTAGCATCCATCAAGGACTGTTGGCCTTCGACCCGTTGAAACCAACCTTAGATCTTGGAGCATGTTGATGTCCGGAGCTCCGATTGGCAACCCTTAGCTATGCCAAGGGGCCGTTTGACACCAGAATAGAAAGGCGATATTTCGCCAGGTGCCGCAAGCTCGCACCATCCATCTTGAGAGCCTGGCAATCTTCTGTAGTATCCAGACTTCCATGTGCAACCGCCTGCCCAAAAGTTGGCATTTGTTGCTCAACTGGCTATACGGTCAACGTGTGAATAAACCCAAGCGAGGTGAAAGCGACTGCAAAAGCATTGCCGGATGTGAGGGATGGATGCCGCAGGACCTCGTGGCGCAAGGCCTCGCCGCACGTGAAGCGAGGCACGGGCCATTGGCAGAAGCTGCCCTGAATCCACAGCTCTTTGCCGAGTCGGGTGTTTGCTCGTGTGCGTGGTTGTAGCTTGCGCAACATCCAGCCGGCTAATCTGTTGCCAGAATGTATCAGAATGTCATCAGGCACATGAGCAACTGGCTATGCCACCGGCTAACAATTGCAGATTCTGGCGAGCTTTGTACACGTTTTAACACAAAGCCTGCTCCAGCCGCTGTTAGAGTGGTTACACCAAGGCCCTTGCGAGGCAGATGTATGCTTTCGTTGCGAACATATGTACTGAACAACAGGCTGACGCGAAACTTCATCCTGACCCAAAGACCCGGGTTTCTCACCGCACAGCAACTGGTTGTTGACGACGAGCTTTTGTCAATAACGTGTTGCAGCGTCGCACTCATCGTTTGTCCGCAGATGCTGTGCTTACTCCTAGTTGTTCTGAGTGGCGGAACAAATAGAGGCATTGCCTGATTCCAGCCTGCGGATTCGTCAAAGGCGGCGCACCGTCGTGCGGAACTGGCTTGCGGCACGCGCGACTAATTTGATGCTTGGCAAGCACGGATGCAGTCAAGAAGGCACCAATTTGTTTGGGGAGTGGCTATCCGCAGTCCGCCCAGGATGCCGTGCGCCAACAAAGAACCCTCCACCTGAAGTCATATGTGTGTTTCTTGTTTCGGAGATTGCCACGGATCCTCTCTTTCTGGCTTACACATGTTAGTGTCGGCAGCACATTCACATGGGTCACATGTCAGAAGCTGATGTCCTTGATACCCTATGCGCTGGACGGGATCGATCTAAGGATATGGATGCTGATGCTGTCGGCGATAATGATGCCCATCACGATCTCTTTGCGGCGGGTCAGCAGCTAGAACTGGCCAGTTGACCTGAAGGACCACCTTTTGGTTGGTAGTTTTTCAGGGAAGCCGAAATGAAATCAACTATTTTGGGGGCCAACTGACCAAGCACCCATCATTGTCCACTTTCACGGTAAATCCAGGTGTCATCCTCATGTGTCATCCTCAGGCCTTCTGATGTCTGACCCCACAGTAGCGGAACGGCTCCTTGCCCGCCCCTTTCGTTTCCCGGGTCCCTGCTGCTTCACCTGAGGTTGCTGCCACTCAGCTGCACATCAGCGGTTGATTTGCTTCGCTTTTGATGGCAGACCTCAGGATTTGAGTGAAGACAGGGTGCTTGAAGCAGATAAGCATAGACCCAACCAAACCGATCCGTTGATTGCATGGAGGTAGCAGATCCTTCGGCCAGGCTTTCATTCCTTTACCGAACCAGAGCAGCCTATGGCCTGCCGACTCTTGAACTGCTTTGGAAAGGCCAGGTCTCAACCCACTATATGCCTCACCTTGATCCTGGTTTGTTTTTATAGCATCGACAAGCTTCTCAGAATGGTGATGGTCAAGCCCCTGAAACCTCCATCTTCTACAAGGCGGCGGGTTCTGTCCCGACCGTCGGCCGCCCTTCCCCCTAAAAAAGTATCTCAATTGATTGAGTACACGGGGTCCGGGAGTTTCCGCAGTCCTTGTCCAAATGGGTCCCTTCCCGGACCCAAAAAGTATTCAATACG